CCCCAAAACCCCAAAACCCCAAAACCCCAAAACCCCGCGATTAGTAATAAAGCTGAGAGCACTAATAAAAATAAGAATTAATTTAATTATCAATATGAAGCCTGCAAATACAAAGAGTCCAACCTCTGTAGATTCTCCTAATGGCACTATGAAGAATTTATTTGACTCTCATGAATGAAATGTTGATGAGGATATCTCATCAGAAATTCAAGCTAATCATGTTTATGACTCTAGCATGGTCATTAAGATTAGGAACAGTCTCATTATCTACAAGTGAAGTCGTAAAAGAGACTTCTGTAACAGTATGCCACAGAAGTCAATTACTAAAAGGCACAGAATAAGTGACATAAATAATTCATTTCAATTAGGTCTCGAAAAATCGAAGACTATTTATGCAAAGAAGGACCCACAGAAGACTTTATCATGAAAAAGATCGCAAGGTAAATGGGAGAACAGCAGAAAATCTTCCATTGAAATTTTACTAAAGTTGCAGGAAAAATTAGCTGGAATGAAAAATGTGGATCTTAAGAAGACCAAGACAAACGAACCCCTCCAAAAATAATTTCGAAGTATTAAAGTGATCAGCTTCTTATGATAAAGAAGCTAAATCACTGTCCTTAATTTAATTTTCCGTAAATATTACGATATCGAAATTTGTCGAAGAAGATACCAAACAAATAATTTTAGGAGGATCCGTTCAAAATAATATCTCAATATATTTCATTTCAGAATGTTATCTCTTTTGACAGAGTTATCTTCTATAATTGATCTAACATTTTTTGCTTCTGTGGCTAAATTTTAAGCTACCAAAAATTAGCATGATTTAAATATTATTCGATCCAAGGAAGCCTATTGTCTAAAACTCTTGTACCAGGTTTCTTTACCCACAAGCTATTAAATATTAAAAGTAAAATATTAGAGGCTCTTTCTTGCTTTCAGAAAATAGGAAGATTCTTTCTATCTTTGAAAAAGTAATCATGGATAGGTATTAAAATGAGCATGAATCCTTTCTTCAATAATATTTTTATTTGATCTCTGAGCATATATACAACTTAATACTTTTAGGCATTTTCAAACCCACATAAAATATGATTATTATTTCTTTATTATCAGAGAAAAATTAAGTGATAAGTTCTAACCCGGATCTCCATTGCTCCAAACGAGGTATCTTCATTTTAACCTAATAATTTTAATTTTACAGGACTTAAGAACAAATGTTTTATAATTATTTTATTTTCCGAACTCTAGTCTGTGAAATAATAGAAATAGGACTGTTATAATTATAAAAAAGGAGGGTTTTCTAACAATTATTCCAAAACTCCAATCATATTTAGGCAAACTCAAATTTTGCTGATAAATTAAACCGCCCAATTAGATTTTACAGTTTGAAAGTTTATTGTTATGGCCGACACATTTTTACAAGCAAAAGTTACTTTTACCGTGCACTTTGCCTTTCCAAGTCTTTATTCAGACTTGGATTTGTTTAGAACCTTGAAAAGAGAATTGTGAGATTTTTAAGAATTTAGACTAAAGGTGCTTAATTTAGAATCGTTAATATAGTGCTGACTAATTAATATTTTTCAAAAATTAAAGATCCTTGACGTTTTAGAGACCAATAGGAGAAAGAAAATCAAACGATTTGTATATAATGAATCAGCAATTGAAATTATTATGTCAGCTTTGATTCAAGTAGGGATTAATCTCATCTGAAAAGGTAGCTTAGCTTCGCAGACCCTTCTTAGATACTAATAAAATTAAAAATATCCAATTAGGATAGTGATAATTTTAAAAACATGATGATAAAAACTTGATGAAAAGTCTGAAAACATTGTTGATATCTAAATTTATCTCAAAGTTGGCCAATTTACTCAAGATAACAAGTCTATAAATGCTCGAGAGCAGTTATTGCATATATTCTCAGAGGTTTTACCATAAATATTGTATTTTTGTCAAGCTAACACTGGGAACATTAAGGAAGAAGCTGTCCATAATCCAAGATTTTCAAAAGTTCTTTACGCATCTAATTAATAATGGAAGAAGTCCTGTTCACATTTTTCTATATCAAGATTCTCCATTTTATTCTTGAAAGCAATTCGCTTATTTTCAATTTGATGAGAAATTAATGGGGTTTTGGGGTTTTGGGGTTTTGGGGTTTTGGGG